CAGTTTTATCTATGCTCTCCAACAGTATACAACTATAGTGTTTAAGCAGCTTCAATTTGGGACATCCCCATAGTTCATCATCTTCATCATATTAACGGATTAAAGTGAACTCAAGTAGCTCTTTATTTGCTTGATTAAACTTAAGTATTAGCAGTCCCTTGATAGATAATATTCATGTTAGTTATCTCGAAGTTAAATAAAAATAAAACTATTTCTAACTTCGAGAGTTATTACGCTTATTAACATTATTAATCTGCTTTATTGTTTTTATTGTTAGATATATATTAATAGAATAACTTATAAAGATATCGATACTTATTAAACTATACCAAAATATTTCTTCTTCTTCACTACTTCTTTTTACAATAACATTAGAAAACATCAGGCTTTCATGAAAGCTTGATGTAGCTCGAATTATATCAGTATTTTCTAAAGAAGCAGAAGAAAATATCTCCATATGATTATCATTGTTTAGGGACATTACTGATTCCTCTTCAAAAAATTTATCAAGACCAGTTAGTAAGTTTTGAAAGCCTTCAACTTGTAACAGGTCCATATTATTCTTATTATTCTCAAAGAAATCATTCAGCTCATCTAAACTTAATGATCACAAAGATTTACCAAACTCTTTCACTTTACAATTTTTCTTTTGAACTCCTTTTTTGGTTAGTTTTTGCTGTTTAATCTATTGATAATGATTATTAGCGATGATTAGTGATAATTTACTATATTTAAAAACTTACAGTATTTAATATTTGTTTTATATAATCTTTTTTATTGGACATGTGATAGAGAATTTTTACATAATTCTTATGAAGAGTCTTATAAGTCTTTGTGGTCATACTATTTATAGATCCATATTCTTTAACTGCAGATACTATATGATAGTATCAAGAGTGAAGTTTAGGAAGCTGAAGATCATTTTAAGCAAATTTTGAAAATATTTCAACGAATTCTTGGGCCCAATCCAAAATGAAGGTCTGTAAAATTAATCATTAGTAATCTAATATTTTAAAAAAGCTAAATATTTATTTTATACCTGAAGCTGGTTACAAGAATCGTAAGTAAACGATTTTTCACAGATAGTAATATACATTCTAAGGAATTTGTAATAAACTTGGCATAACCATTTATTACTAATTCCTGGCTTCTTATAATCTTAATATAGATTATCAAGAGCAAAAATTATGATTTTCATAACATTTTGTAGTTCATTAGCTATAATGCGTGTTATATCTGATATATTCTTTAATATTTTAAGACCGCTAAATCGAAGAATCAATGTTAATCGCTGTTCAAAGGTTTAAACCACTTTGCTCTCGCATTAGTCATATAAAAGATCTTTAGTATAGTCTAACATATACTTAAAGAGACCAAGATCCAAAGTGTGCATTCGATCAAGTATGATAGCTTCATATATATTAAGGTTTCTAAAATTTTTTTATTAGTTATAACAATATTTAATTTAGTACAATAATATGATAATAATAAACTAAAATCTCATACCTTATGTTTCAAAATGCAATTTTTTCAGGATGAATTGAATAATAATGCCATTTTTGTTATTAATTGCTTAACTCATATTATTTGGTGTTCTAGGTGAGATAGTTAAATTTATATTATTCAATTCATCTTTTAATACTAAACATGAATGACAAGGTTGCCTAGCAGATGATGATTGATAAACATTTGTTATCTTATCTGCTTCTGCTAAATCGGCTAAAATCATCGAAATTCAAGGAACAAAGGTAACTATCTCATCACAAATGACAAAGTGAAGCTCTAGCTCTCTGCTAAAGGCCCAAGAAAATCTTCATGCACTTCTAAAAGACTTCTCTTTGTAATTTTTGAAAATTTTTAGATTTTTTTGTTTAGTATCCTTTGCTTTTAGAATTGGAAGATATCTAATTAATGCTTTGAATTCTGGTTTATTTCTCTGCTAGTTTGGAATGTTGCCAAGTGACAAGAATATTGGATGAACAGATGATTTTCCCATATGATCAAGGTTTGTTGTATCTGAATAGAGTATAATTGATAGTAAATGTTGCCCAGAAAGCAATACTGATTCTTTTCGCTTCCACCAGTTACAGTTATACTGTTTCTCAAATACCCAATGTTCTGTGCTGTTTATTATTTTTCTTTTATCTTCATAGTTAAGAACTAGTGACCGATTGATACTATCGATCATTATTAAAGATTTTATTGTTTTTATTAATGATCAATAATAGAACATATATCTAACGTTTTGAAACGTTTCAACTCAGATTTCCTTAAACATCATATAAGGAATATTAGAATTGTCCAGAAATTCCTTTCTTATTCTTGTTGATGAAGGTAATGGTGAAATATCTAATTTTGAAAATTTGTTGAAAAAGCTTATAATAAAATCACCAGCCAGTTTGGATAGTTGATGCTTATTAACTAATTCTATAAATTCACAATAAGCATCATTAGGCCATTCAACAGTCAGTAGATGTTGCAAATCATTGAATGCATCATCAAACGAAGCTCCTTCATAGTCTTCAGAATCATATTCTATTGAAGAAGACACATTTGCTAATAGAGGCTCTGTTTCTATATTAGAATAAGGTATGTTGACATGTCTTCATTCTAAATAATATAATATCGTTATATAGTGATTTATAACTTGATAACTATTTACATTTAACTTACCTCATAAACTTCATTAAAATTACTTTCGGTATCCATAGAAGAACCTGATCTGAATAGAGGTAATTCTGATATAACTTCACTCTATTTAAGCATAATCATTTATTAACGTTTTATAATAATTAATAAACTTAAAATAATTTTTAAACAATTTATCCCATATACTATAGAGTCATTAAAGTTATATTCTGAGGAAGAACTATAGCTGGAGTTGTATTCTGGAAGATTCCAAAGACTATCATCCAATTGTTCAGTAGAAATGGCTTGATTTGTTGAATCTTAAAAAGGATGTCTTTGTAAAATATGTTGTGTCAAGGCATAGGATTTTGAAAATTCCCGATTACAGTATCCACACTGCCAATGCATTTTAGAGAAAAAGAAAAAAAAAGTGAAACTAGAAATAAAGTGAAAAAGAAAAAAGTAAAATAAATAGAAAAAGCAAATAACCGATAGAGAATAAAAGGGGTAAAAAGAAAGAAAGAAGTGAAATAGCGATAATTGATATCGAAAATATCGAAAGTAGAGAAAGAGAAAATAAAAAGGTGGAACCAGGGTACTGGATTGGCTGGATTCTGTTTTTAATGAAGGAGAATGAAAGAAAAGTAGATCAAAGCAATATATTGATTATAAAAGTTTAAGTTTAACCAATTTTAAATGATTAATATTGATTCAAAGCAATTTTTCCTCAAAACAATAATATGTTTATATGATATAATATTAAGCAAAAAACTAGCTTTATATTATTTCTTATATGAGTGCCGTCAAAAAAAAACCTGAAATCGGGCTTGCAATTATATTTTGTGTACAGTTAACTATCTATCAATTTGATAGATGCTAACTGTATACAAAATATAATTGCAAGCCCGATTCCAGGTTTTCTTTTGACGGCACTCATATTATGATTAAGTTCAAATCTCAGCGAAATTATCAATAATGAAATAAAACTCAGCAAATTGCTAATACATGTATTTGATAGTAAATCGTCTTTATGCGTGTAAGCACGTAATATAGTAATATACCAACCAACAAATGAGATAAGTACTTTTTTGTTGTTATATGATGATTGATATCATATATTAATATATAATTTATTTTTTAGATATATTATATTTATATAAGTTGATTTTTTTTTTGCTATATAATGATTAACATGTATCATGTTAATGTTTTATTACTTGATTATAAATTGGCATTACACGTAAGTTAATCAAAAGCAACAAATGATATAAGTATAATTTCATTCCTTTTTTTTATTGTTATATAACGATTAACATCATATTTTAATTTTTATTATATATTGGATATAATAAATTGTCATTACATGTAAGTTGATCAAATGCAATAAAATAAGTATACTTCACCTTTTTTTTCCTATATGATAATTTAACATCTTCCTATATTAATTTACTTTAGATATATAAATATAACCGATTTAGCAATTACAATGATAAAGTAATTTTTGATTTTGAAGTTTTGAAATAGATAATAACGATTCTAATACTAAATTACCTTCTGATAACAACGCTTCTAACACCAATTTACTTTCTAATAACAACACTCCTAACACCAATTTACTATTTGAAAACACTACTTCTACTACCAATTTACCTCTTGAAAACACTACTCCAAACACAAATTTACCGCCTGATAATACAACTACGAACAACTCACCTTCTCCTTTTCTTGCCACTCCTATCAATACATCTCGACTTCATTGCAGTCAGGGATTTTGCCAAAAATGAACAGTGTAGATCACACCTTGTATAGTAAAGAAATATTGATCACATGATTCTAGATCATTTGGTTATACAAAAATCATGTGTAATCGACCAATGAAATTTAACCACAACAAAATTTACTTATTAATTAAAAGAAGTTAGTTATCATTTGCTTTTTTTATAATAGCTTATTGCGAAGGATCAAATGGGATCATTTAAAGTAGACATTTTATATTAGCTAATTGTATATCGTTTAATATCAAATAAAAAATAAAATATCAAATGATCCCACGGTGAAAAAAAATGTTACACAGTTAATCAAATTCATGGAATGACACAGAGATCATTCTAGAATGCGATTTTCTAATTAGGCAAAATCTCTGACTGCATTGGATTGCTTCACGATTTTTTATATCTCAAAATATCGTTAGCCCACACCAACCAACTTATAATACTTGTGGTGGTTCTTCTTGGGATGAATCAATCAAAAGTATTATAAGTGTGCAAAAAACATTTGAAAGAATGAGCAGTAGTAAAGGTAAACAAGCTAAATCGGAAAAATCTAAACAACCTTAACAGCCATCTCTTTCACGACAACCATCTCTTTCATGACAGCCGTCTAATTCACAACAACCATCTCCTTCACAACAGCCATCTAATTCACAACCATCTCTTTTACAACAACAATCATATTCTCGACAGCCATCATATTCTCGACATGCATCGCCATCTGATAATGTTCGTTCTTAATGTCAAGCATCGCGTTCAATCGAATGTGATAGATCCTTATCACCGCAGTACTCACTAGTAAGACGATCAAGATTACGTGACAGAAGATCAAGATCAAGATCATGTGACCGATGATCATCAAATCAGGATCAACCACGCAATCGTGATGATCAGTATATAATCCTTTTTTTTGATTTTTGACTCTAAATGTGATTATTTTTTTTGGGTGGTTTTTTTTT